TCCACTCAACCTTCTTCCATTGACAACAGTTTGAATTTTTTCTCTTCTCTCACCCCATTTCTTGGAGAAAAAGTAGAATTGAACAAAGGTTTGGGTTGAAGGAGAGTAGTTCTCTCTTGGACTCAACACCCTTGGCACCACAGCCCTTCCAATAAGGGGAGTGTAAGTAGCACATACCTTAACATTTTGACTCCATCAAAATATACTCAGATCAACTACCAGTTAAGTATTGCTATGTACTATCTCTACACCATTACTAGCAATACATCTTAGACCTTCATGTACACAAGTAAAGTAAGCAACTAGTCCATGACTTTGTGTTTTGTCATAAATGGGTCCCGCACATTATTAATTCAACTCATCTATTTCCAGTTTCCACAACAATTATATGTATCCCTTTTCTTTCTCTTTAATTCTTTAATTTCATTAAAAATGAATTAAAAAAGATTATAACAGATTGGTTTACATTGAGATGAGATTATCAAGAGATACCTTCATTACTAATAAATAGATTATTTATAAGAAGGAAGAATTTATACCTTTATTACTAATAGATGGATTATTTATAACGAAAAAAAATATATTAAATGGCCCTTGAAATTATTGATTTTAACGTCCTAGCATATGACATAAAGTTAAAATTGTACCATTGTTTGATGATGATAAGTCACTCCATGCTAGATTTAGTGACTTGAGAGATGAAAGTTCACTCAAAAATGATAAGTTACTATTGTTCAATACATTATGTTGTAGATCGAGGATTTCCAAATTTCTTAACTTAGAAAGCTTCTCGAAACCTACAATATGTACAATTACTAACTCAGTTTTGGAGTACATATGTATATTAAGATGAAATGATAAAAAAATAGGTTCTATAAGTCAAAGATGGACAATTATACCATCAGCATATAACATAAAGTTAAAATTGTACCATTGTTTGATGATGATAAGTCACTCTGTGCTAGATTTAGATACTTGAGAGATGAAAGCTCACTCAAAAATGATAAGTTACTATTGTTCAATACATTGTAATGTAGATCGAGGATCTCCAAATTTCTCAACTTAGAAAGCTTCTCAAAACCTGCAATACATACAATTACTAATTCAGTTTTGGAGTACATATATATATATATATATTAAGATGAAACAATAAAAAAATAGGTTCTATAAGTCAAAGATGGACAATTGTACCATTAGCATGGTTAGATGCTTGGAATTTGTTGCTAGCTAGATATAGAGACTTAAGCGATAAAAGCTCACTCAAAGAGAATAAGATATTATTGTTCAAATTATTGTCACTTAGATCAAGGGTCTTCAGATTTCTCAACCTAGAAAGCCTCTCGGAACCTACAATACATACAATTACTAACTCAGTTTTGGAGCACATATATATTAAGGTGAAACAATAAAAAAATAGGTTCTATAAGTCAAAGATGGACAATTGTACCATCAGCATGGTTAGATGCTTGGAATTCGTTGCCAGCTAGATATAGAGACTTAAGGGATAAAAGCTCACTTAAAGAGAATAAGATACCGTTGTTCAACTTATTATTACTTAGATCAAGGGTTTCCAGATTTCTCAACTTAGAAAGCCTCTCAAAACCTGCAATACATACAATTACTAACTCAGTTTTGGAGCACATATATATTAAGGTGAAACAATAAAAAAATAGGTTCTATAAGTCAAAGATGGACAATTATACAATCAATATGGTTAGATGCTTGGAATATGTTGCCAACTAGATATAGAGAGTTAAGCAATAAAAGTTCACTAAAAAAGAATAAGATACTATTGTTCAACTTATTATAACTTAGATCAAGGGTTTCCAAATTTCTTAACTTAGAAAGCCTCTCAAGACCTACAATACGTACAATTACTAACTCAGATTTAGAGCACATATATATTAAGATGAAATAATAAAAAAAAATAGGTTCTACAAGTCAAAGGTGGACAATCATACCATTAGCATGGTTAGATGCTTGGAATATGTTGCCAACTAGATATAGAGACTTAAGTGATAAAAGCTCACCTAAAAATAATAAGATACTATTGTTCAACTTA